TGTAAAAAACCCGTTTTTTGTCAGATTTTCACATTTATTATTGAAAGTAAGCATTTATTGAAGGTAGACTATGTAAGTAAATTAAGCTTAAATACTTTACATGTAAGCCCCAATTAGTTTACAATTAAAAAAATATTGAAATTTATTTCAGAGCAAATAGGAACAAGGACGATATTTTTTTGGTTACTTTTTTCACTGCAGTGGAAGGCTCCTGCTTGGAGTCCTCCAAATGTGGTTGGTGTTCTTCCTTAGTTGTACGATACGGTTCAGGAATATTGCTTCCATATTGCTTTCATATTGCTTCTACTTGTGGTTGGTAAGCTGATAGCTGGGTTAATGAAATTAATTTAATGAGTTTAAAGTTATCGGTGGCCAATTTAAATTAATAAAGACACAGATTTAGTTGTTCACTGGTTATGCTGAATTTAATATTTAAAACAACCCAGTACAAAGTCAGAAATGATTTTAACAGTTTGGAATAAAAAATGTATTTAATTGAATCCAGATAAAAATAACAAATAAGAAAATAGCAAACTGTATTCGTCCCTGCTGCGTGAGTTTTGTTAAAACACTGATTGTTACACTTGCTGACGGGGCAAGGGAAGAGAGTTTTAGAAAGTTACTTTAACAATATCACCTTGTCTTCTTTCCCTAAATTGAAGATATGCATTTTAAATAGAAGTGAAAAAAATCTATACATAAATCCCAAAGTATCCATGAATGAACTTTTGAGAAATCTTAAAGTCACACCCCTATAAACAATATACTTAAAAAAATGTTCGTTATGGCGAAAAACTATCCATTTTTTTTCATAAACTGGCCTTTAAGGTCGTAATTCCTTTTTAAAGGGGACTTTTCATATACTATGTTAAAAATACCTTAGCTGTAATTATTTGTTTGTTATTCTTTCAATTGCTTACCTTATTAAAATTAGGTGTGATTATATGTTTGTATTACTGTATTCTGTTTTGTTTATTTCAGCTTAACGTAACCAATCAATAGTTTTATTAATATTTATGAAGTAAAATGGGGTGAAGCCCGTGGGTAACAGCTAGTATAAAGGTATACATTTTGGGATAATTGTTTCATAATGTAAAACTAATGTTACTTGATGTGAGACACATATTAATGAACATTTAAGTATTATAAATATCATTCAACATGAGGGGAGCGTTTCATAAACTCCAAATTTCACAAACTCCAACGCTTAAAATATTAAATAAACAGAGTGGTTCATAACCTCCAATTTTCATAAGCTCCAAATCTATAACATTCAAATAATCACTGTTTCACAATGTCCAAATTTCACAAACTCCAACGTTAAGATACCAAATAAACAGTGCGGTTCATAATGTCCAAATTTCATAACCTCCAACGGTACAGTCTGAGCCAGAAGTCTCTACAGTGGTTGCCACAGTCAGATAGCAGGCACCGTTCGCCAGCGCTCAACTACTGATTATACGTGCATTTTAATGTAATGACATATTTGATGTAATACAGTATAATGATAATTAAATGCTAGAAACTCAGTTTCTATATCCCGTAAACTGATGCTGAGCCGGCCAAACTCCTAGCGCCAATGCCGCGCCAAGCGATTTTATGCCTATTTTTAATCACTTAAAAATTATACAAGCAGGCTCCGTATCAAAAAAAGCTTCAAATTAAAAAGAAAATTCATACTTTGATCTAAAACTTTGCCGCAGGAATTTTTTTCCTGACCAAAAAATAAAAAAGTTCCTCGCTTACTACATTTTTCATGTTTTTTATGATGTTAAAAAACAATCATCTGTTTTATTTATTTATTTATTTATACGGTAAACACCATTTTTACAGTCAATGATACATGAGATTCAAGTTACAAGATAAATACTTCTAAACATATATAAGCCAGATACAGATTCATCTTAATTGCTAGACAATAGTGACATGCATAAATATTTTCAGAAAAATAACAATACCAGTAACCAAATCTAGATAACAATTGATAAATATTTTAATATAATAACAGTAACGAGCAAAAATATAAATATATTTGACAGACAAGACAAAAAAACCATGACAATTATAATAACGGTGACATAAACTGAGTGAAAAAATGTTAACATTGCAATAAATATTTGTGAAAGTGTAACAAACAAACAAGGCAGCAAAATCCAGACAGTGACCTCAGGACACATTCTCATCGACCACATAACAATAACAGCTTAAACTAGGATATTTTTAATAGCTTTTAGTTTGCAGGTGAACATATCAACATGTTGGCATGCTTGATTTCCAAGTCTGTGGAGCCGTGGAATTGTACTGTGGAAGGCGTAGTTTGTAGAAAAGGAAGCTTTGTTGAAGAGTTGAATATGCCTGAAGTGTCGAGGGACATGGAAATTAATTAGGCGAAGTATTTCTGGTGCATCAACTTCGCCGTTCAAGAACTTCCAGAGGAAAGACAGGTCTGCAGATTGTCTACGATCGCTCAGTCGAGGAAGGCACATATCGATGCGAATATCTTCAATCGGCACTGTATAGAATTCATGGCCCAACTTGACGCCAATAGAGCGAAGAAAGCGATTCTGAATTTTTTCTACTCTTGATATGTGGTTGATTTGGTGTGGATTCCATATCAAGCTGCCATATTCCAGCACAGGCCTAACCTGAGTCATGTAAAGAGTTCTCAGAGCATTAACATCAAGTCCGTATCTACCACATCTAATGACAATTTGAATTTTTAATTTGCCTAGATAAATTATAAAAATTATGTTAAGATAAAAACTAGCTACATAGTAATGAGAACTGGTTTTTCCAGAAAAATAATATATCAATTTGAAATTTGTATGTTAACAAATAAGTGTAGCAGAGCAGGTTGAGTGAATGTATGTTTGTGTAAAACAGAGAGGTTCATTCGGCCCGTCCGCCTCGGTATCCCGCCAATTCGATTGACTTATGGCAGAGACTGTACCGTTGGAGCTTATGAAACTTGGAGGTTATGAACCGCTCTGTTTATTTGATATTTAAAAGTTGGAGTTTGTGAAATTTGGACATTGTGAAACTGTGCTTATTTGAAAGTTATAGTTTTGGAGTTTATGAAGTTTGGAGGTTATGAAACACACTGTTTATTTAATATTTTAGACGTTGGAGTTTGTGAAATTTGGACATTATGAACCTCACCCAACATGAGAATTCCCATTTCATGATTTTGATGGTGTCCATGTTGTCCCTCTGAACTCGGGATTCTCCGCTGTCTACATGCTGCTTAGAGATTTCAAAGTGAATACCACAAAACCTTTCCATCTCTTCGGTAATGTGAATTATGGATGTGTGCATTTGTAATCATCTAAAGGATATGCTGTCAGAAATATTATACATTCTAAATCTACCCTCAATTTTAGTACTTCTCATGAGGAATTACTCTACTGTTTTGTCTATAAAGGTGCCATACCATAGTTAATCGGGACGACGGACTGTGAAGGCGTCTCCACAAGTGAAATTGACGTTTTATATCACGTCAATGTTTGTAAACAAATAAAAAAAAGTTATAATTAACTGTTTATGTTAAATCTGTGTACGATAATGTTTTCTTATTCAACTTACAAGTTAACCAACTATACTGCATAGTTGTAAAAAGAAATGTCTAACTATGACACGTTATGTTCAACACAATATTTGTTCTTTCGTTCATGATAAATTGTGGGTGTTTTTGGTGAAAGTAATTATTTGAGAGTGATTTTTTGAAGCTAGAATTAAGTTAAATAGGTAGTGAAATAAGTTACATAAGGTAAGATGAGTGGGAAAAAATTTAGTTTTAATAAACAATTTTAAATATGCAAAAAAGAGTGTTTACACAACAATGTGAAAGTTTTGTCTTTTTGGAGCGCACTCCAATTATTGTCTTTGCTTCTATTTGTTCTTTAAAAAATTTCGTTATTCTTTAATAGTACACTTACCGGTACTGGGGCTTATATGTTAAGTCTTTAAACTTAATTTACTTTCATTGTCTACCTTACACCTACTTTTAATAATAAATATGAAAATCTGAAAAAACGGGTTTTTTTTCAAAAGTGTGATATTTTTGTCTTTTTGGAACGAGCTCTAGTGGGCTAATTGTGCATTTGATAAAGAACAATATGTATGTATTTTGAAGGAAATTTCATGATCTTTCATTTTCACTTTTAGTAAAATTTAGTAGAATGCATAGTTTCCGAGTACTAAGCAAGAAACTGAAAAAAGTGCAAAATATTTCACATTTTTTGCGTCTAGCTCAAAACGCACAAGGAATTTTTGTTGGATCTCTTCAGATTCGGATTCAGCGCCCCAAAAAACATAAAGTTAAGAAAAAAAACTCGTAACAGTTATTTTTTGTAACGTTCAACTAGTTTTGTAGTTTGACTGGACTATCAATAATTCCCTAATATTTAATTTCATTCTCTACAAATCATTCATTGGTCGTAATCGAGCCTGAATTTTGAATTTCAGGTAACAGCCAATTTACATTATGTTTTGCTTTTTGGAAATGCCACATTGCTATGTCATTTACATTATTTTTTGCTAATGAAGCCACACGACCATATAAATGAGGAGGCACCTAACAGTTCAAGAATAAAAGCCAACTTCACTTCAAGTAGGCTATATTCCACTACACCTAACATTCCGTAGAGAGGTTATATTGACAACTTTATGTAATTGATAAGGCTGAGACAACTAACTGACATCCCCCATGTCAAGGAATTCCAGCTTTAACAGTAACACCACAACCAATTTCTCAAAACTGTGCTAGAGTATTATTCATTGGCACAGAAGAGTACGATATTAAGTGACGCAACGTGACGAAGGAAAAATCAAACTTACACGGTAACGGATATACCTCCCTTTGAAGTTTTTTTTAATTTGCCAACATATATATTTGCTGGAAAGAGTTTGAAAGATGTGGCATCTCATAGAACAGAATTTCCAATTAGCCCTTGATAAAATTATGCTACACACATAAAAATGGGAAACTAAGATAAAACATATTAAATAGAATAGTTTTTATTTTATTAAATCACTGGAAATAGTATAAAACTTATTTTTAAATTTACAAAGTAAATAAGGGGGAAAATACTACACTTAGATGATGACTCGAAAACCACAGGTCCTGAAACAGAGGTAATAAATTAATGTTTACATGTACATTCAAAATTCACAATATAACTAGGGTTTTCATGTTCCCTTTCCCGATAAAAAATAAAGTGGGCAATAGTCATTTGTGTATTCCAGTATTTAAAAACAATCCTTACATTACTCGTGAGAATTCCCCTGCATGTGAATTGCTTCACAGTTCTCCGAGTTACCATTTGATACAAAACCTATTTCTAAATGTTTACCTATACAAGGAAAACTAAAATAACAGTGAAAAACATGAACATGTGTGTTTTCTCGTTCACAAAATTAAGATCCAGGATTCACACCTCCTGACTGCCTTGCATATATTTCTTTTATTCTACTTGACATTAAATTTTGCATTATATATTACATTACTGTATTTTAACTCATACAAAATATTATGTAAGATGTATTTAAATTAATACTATGCAATATGAGATCCTAAGACTAACCATTAATGATCTGTAGAATCAATCCTTTGTTAGTGTGTTACCATTGTGCTTATCATTTGTGTGATCAGTCTCACATACCTGTTCAGGACATGACTGGGTGACTCCAAGGATCCCTGCCTTGTCCTAGAGATGCTAGTGAAGACTCTCTGATCTTGCTCAGTAGCTCTCCCATCTGCTGCTTGGAGTACACCTTCAAAATAAAAATGGAAAACTTGAACAGTCTTACCGTGCCACCTACGTTAATTATCACATACATGTAACTGATCCTTCCCACATTTTTTCACCTTTTATCTTACTAATATTATAAATCTGAAAGTTTGTGAGTTTGTGTGTATGTTTGTGTGTGTGTTTGTTGCTCAATCACGCATAAACTACTGGACGGATTGGGCTGAAATTTGGCATGATATTAGCTCACATTCCCGATTAACATTAAATCATATTATCATCTCAAAAACCCTTTCGGGCTCCGCCCCAGTGGCTCTGTAGTTCCCCATGTTAATCTTACGATTTTTCATATTTAAAAGGAATTATTTAATCTTAACAGCTGTTTCAATTAAACAAGTTTGTTCTGTTCTATGATGTTCAATAGCATAAAAGTTACAAGGATTACCAACAGGGTGCAGCACTATTATTTTTTTTTTAATTTATGACAACAGCTAATTTCCAACCAAAAGGTGAGTGAGCGTAACGAACGAACTTCAACCTGGAGGCGAGTTAGCGTAGCGAACGAGCTAACCTGAAGGCAAGTGAGCGCAGCGAACGAGCTCCAACCTAAAGGTGAGTGAGCGTAGCGAACGAACTTCAACCAGGACGTGAATGAGCCATGCAAATACTTATGAAGTTAAACGGGGCGAAGCCCGCGGGTACAGCTAGTATTAGTATATTAGTATATAGTCATAGTCAGAGTTACACAGTGTTTATACTTTTTTTTGTGTTTGTATTTAAATTTATAGTATACCTTGTAAAGATGATATCGTTCATCAACCACTAAATCAGCCAACTGGATAGCTTCTTTAAACAACTCCATTGAATGAAGTACAGTATGCAGCAGTAACACAATCTGAAATAACATGCAACACAAGATTATAATTTTCATTAATTTTCAATTTCAATTAAGTTTTTGTTTTTTGATAGAGTACAATGATTGATAATTTGCTTTATTTATGTTCTTGTTCTTGGTGGTAGTAATTAATAAATATGACCTTCGCCACAACACACCTGCAGATTAAGCAATTTTCCATTTGTCTGATTGGTAAATATTCCCTAAAGCATGTCTCTATTTAAATAGCATGAGGTTTTCTTGCACTGTTTGCTGCTACAGGGAAGGAAAATAAATGTTTTAAATTAAATGTTTACATTTAGAATACAATTTTTTAAAAGCACATTTTTTTAAATATTTTCCTTAACCATAGCTTACAATAAGACTCAACTTCAATTTCCACCCCAGACGGACAACATTTATTTAAGAAAAAAAGAAAACAATATGCGTATAACTTATACAGTCTACTATTCTGGGCTTATATGTTTTACCATAAAATCAAAGAAAGGGCAATTACAAAACTATTGACTGTACTGTATTTGTACTAGTGAAAAAATCAAATATATGTATAACTAAAAGCAATGAATATCATGACATGTAATATTGCAAGGTGGGCCCTCCCACCGGCTAAGCCACACATTTATAAGCTTAATTTAGAAAGTCATGCCACACCTTAGCCAACTGAGCTACCATGCCACTATGGGCTGACCAGGAGGAGTGTAACTATAAGCATTGCCTATTGGATAGTGAAGTAGACGTCCCATCTATATGGACCAGCTGTAGCCAATTTTTTTTTTGTTTGTTAAAAATGAACGTAGTTGTGTGAGCCAGTCACAGAATGCGCTAGTAACTAAAACTCTATTTTCTACCTTATTTTTTGTTGCTGGCCAAGTTTATGGGTCATAACAGTTGCTATAGCTCACAATAAGTCATTCCATTAGTTTGAATTGATAAAAAAGATTTTGTATTCGACAGAAATGAGTAATTTAGATAAGCACAATCTATCGGTGGCTCACATCAACTAAGATTTTTTTTTTTAATGGCTACAAATTTAACATGGGGATGAATTGTCTAAAGGAAGCGTCAACACTCACAGCACTCACAAGCACTCACAGGTTAGATTTGACAAAATAACCAACTCACAATAAATAAAGCGTATGGTTCATTCGTCGCCCAGCTATACTCAGACTTAATAGTTTATGTCTTAAGCTGTACACCAGGAGTCTCCAAACTACATCCGGCCCAAATGGATTTTATCAGGCCCACGAAGGCCTACTGAGAAATAATTATTTTTTTATTATGTGTACAAAGATGATTGTCAAAGTAGTGGCAACTCGTTAGCGTATCTTGCAGTCTCGGCAATACTGTAATCGCCACTCACGATCGCGGCAACACCCGTAAGTATTTGCGGTATCGGCGGTACCGTGATCGTCACTCGCGATCGCAGCAACAATCATAAGTATATTTGCAGTCTTGGCAATACCGTGATCGCCACTCACGATCGCGGCGACACCCGTAAGTATTTGCGGTATCGGTGGTACCGTGATTGTCACTCGCGATCGCAGCAACACCCGTAAGTATATTTGCGGTCTCCGCGATACCGTAATCGTCACTCGCGATCATATCATGCGGTCTCGGCAATACCGTAATATCGTAAAAGGTTTGGTGTTCTGTTGACCAGTGTTCTCATCAGCCCTACTTAAACACCACCATTATAGATCAAATTTCATATCATAATAAATATACTGCAAACAAAATTTTAACTTCGTTTAAGAATTTAAATAGTCATGAGCCTACTTATGTTATGTAAATTATAAAATATGAGAAACACAATTAATGTACCCATACAAAAAATTATTTGAGGATTATTGTTTTGATTGGTCAGAACATCATTCGCACAAAAAGTACAGAATATTATTCTACAAGTAATATATTATTATCTAAAAAATCTGCAAGAAAATGTAAAATTTCACTGCTTAATTTAAAATCTACCTCGTTTTAGGTTATTTGAAAGGGGGCTACCTTTCTGCGCTGAAATACTAACAGTCTGGCTAACCTTTCCTCCAAAAATTGACAATGCGGTCCCTGCTCTACACAATTGCTGTAATAAATATCGTGCATTGCCTTGCTTTATAAAATTTGAAAAAACAAATTTTTTATTAATTTGAAAATCTACATAACACTTTGTTTCCATAACCCTACTTTGCTGGTTCGAGGATTCATTAAACTTTATTTAGCCCTACTACATACATTCCAAATGTCACAATTTCTAGAGTTATTGTGTTCACAGATACAATACATTTATTTACACATGTATAAAAAGTGTTAATATATGTGTGTATTTACACATAAACAAATAGCGTTTTTAGCCCCTGAGGTAATAAAAATGAAAAAGTAAATCAGCCCCAGGTCTATGTCCAACCAACCATGGTAATATACCGTAATTGCCATGGTAATTACAACCAACTAAGGTAATAGTTTCCCCTACATGGAAAATTTGATACTTTTTAACTTTACTTTATACTTTTAATTTATTCTGAAATTGCGACCATAAGCATGTAGGTATTTTAAGCCAAGTATGAATGGAGATGTGAGTGGCGTGATATTATAGTTATGTTAGAGACTATGGCCAACATATTTTTTAGGCACAGCTTTTAATTAATAGTACAGTAGACTCCCTCTTATCCGGACTCCTAGGGACCTAGGCCAGTCCGGAAAACGGGTTTTCCGGTTAAACCGACATCCCCAAAAACTCGTTAAAACGGACCGTTTACGGTGATATTCGACTTAAATTTAGGAGAGCATTGTATTTAGACATGTGATTACTGGTCTCAAATCTTTCCCACGAGAACAGTCGTTTCAGTACCGGTCATTTCCTGCCGATCTAGTCCGGTTACACCAATGTGCTGATAAAAATTGTCCGGTTAAAGAGATGTAATTTCCGTCGAGTGTAGTCCGGTTAAACCGATGTCCGGTTAAAAGCTGTCCGGATAAGAGGGAGTCTACAGCCAATGGCAACAACTAAGGGACCTACAGTTTAAAGTGGAATCCGAACCACATTTTGGCTTGTAATTAGGGGTCTGCGGGTCAGACTTTTTTGGTTCGGGTCGGGTCGGGTCGGGCCGATAATTTTGGTCCTCGGGTTTCGGGTCAAAATCGGGTCGGTCCAAAAATTATTAATTACCAGATTTTTTTCTTTTTTTAACTCCTATCTGTGTTTATAATATTACTTAAAAATAACATATGAAAAACGATTGTATTTATGTATATTATTTCATGTTCATAACTTATTTACAGCTTAGGAGTTGCCTCAACTGCAAGAAAGAAGAAAATAATTTTTTTTATCAAGCCATTCTTTCCCATTTTCATAACTGTTGAAATATCTAAACAGCTATATTACAACAAGTTTGTAATGGAACTTAATATAAAAGGATCATAAACAAATCAATTAACCTTGCAATTCTACTCTATTGCTATATAATTCATCTCAAGTTTAGGGCCTGTGGACTGGCTTAAAGACTGCAAGCAAGAAGAAAATAAAAATTCTATGTTTTCACCATGCAATATGAATCATTCATTCCCTGCCTCCTAACCTCCTAAGTATAAAAACCTCACACTTACAATAGCATTATTAGTTACATCATCATAAATAAAGAATTATTTATTATTGGCATTACTAGGCCTACAGCTTTACATAGGAATTATTTTTTATAGGGCCTAAAATAGTAATAGACTAAGCAACATGACAAGTGGAGAACTCATTGAAGAAAAGATTGTGTGTAAACTAATTCACTTTAAAAACTCTAAAACAGTAAATAACACACATACATTGTTTATGGTATAGTTAGTTATAGTAAAGACTGTAAAAATTGCATATATCATGTCATACACAGTTATAGACCTAAGGTATTGCAAGAGATTAAAATCCTAAAACAACTGATTTTAGCTAATAAATGAAAAGAATTAAAAATCCATAAACTCAAGTCAAACAATATCACAATTATTAGGTACCTGAAAAGGAACTCTTAATATATAGAAAATTATATTAAATCAAGAGAAAAGAAAGTTAAATGCTAATTTGGCAACATAAGCAGACAGCAGAGACATTATAGTGTCCTAATTAGCAACACAACTCAATGTTTTTATACTGTAAGTCGATGTTTTTGAAACTGTAGGGTCTTTTTCTCGGAAGGAAGGGGGAAGGGTAGTAGAATGTAAACAAAAAACCATGAATCACTCTCACAGCCGGGCCCGGGGACACTCAAGGTTACAGACCCTCCCCCTCCCCTCCCCGCCCCTCTTACACAACCAGAGCCAGGCCCGGGGACACTCAAGGTCATAGACCCTCCCCCTCCCCCACCCCTATTACACCACCCGATTGTTCCAATTGCTGACAAAATGCAAGTAACGAAACAAGGAAGTAGAGACAAAAAGATATATTTTCTTTATTCAAAAATATAAAACTGTTACAGATAATTTCTATTAGATATAAAAATAATACAAAATATATGAACACAACTCTTGATACATGTTTATTTCTTAATAATAAATGTAAACATTGAATTATTTACAATATGAAATTATTCCAGTCATATGATCAATATTAAATAAAAGATAGATATTTGGAATATATAACAATTCCTCCCTACTTATTTAAGAGAATGTTCATTTACAAGTTCATCCTTATAATTGGTTTTCTGATTCTCAATGAGCGGCGAATTTTAGGGACAGGAACATCTGGTTGTGAGTTTGCATTGGACACTTCAGCGTCTTGTTGTATGATTGTACTTGGCTCTTCGGCCTCTTGTCGGCTGCTTGTACGATGGATTGTACTTGACGCTTCATTGTTATGTATAGGGCTTTTTTCCTCAGTATTAGGCATAGTGCTTGCTGTAGGATCCGATGTTTCAGTGTCTATAGTTCCTTCCCAGCTTGGGGTGTTACTTGAGACATTTTCTGTATCTTGTGACCTTTCTGAATTGCTTATTGATTTCCTTAACATACCGTACCTTGTATTTCCC